AAATAAACTATAAAAAAAAGAGAGAGAGAAGAGGATAGAGAAAGATAGCAAGTGAACAATAGAGAGGATGTTAGTGAGAAACAGATATGGTTTATTATCTGTTGATGATGACATGTATAGTATTCTCAACTGGACTGGTCTGGGAAGTATTTCATGATGGGTGAACTCTTTTAACAAGCAAAATGATAAATAGTGATTGACTGTTTTTAAAAAAATTATAATAATAATAATTATTGGGAAATGCATGGAAAAGACATTGAACGATAAAGCTAGGAGATTGATGTCTCTGTATTGACCGACATGCATGGCATTCCCTTTTGAAAAAGCAATGGAAGTCAATGTAAAGTTATATGTAATCCAATGTAATATAAAGAAGATTATGATGATAATATAAATTTTAAAAAATGCAAAAAAAATGCTCTTATAACAGAAAGAGCAATTAGAGTGATATAAAATTCTATTGAAGACATTACACATTAATAAAAATCATTAGAGTATTAATATTTTCTGAGGGTTTGAAATAGATTACCAAGAGATTTAGCCTTGGTAAATCTTGATAAACCTTGGTAAAGCCTTGGTAAACCTTAAGAAGATGCATCTTCAGTCTCTTAGTGGACAAAGCTCAAGCATGCTACCAGGAGAAGTCCATGAATCTTACAAATCTGTAAAATCAGCAAAGAACCCAATTTGATTTGAAACACCTGTACAACAAAAATAGTAAACTTTGAAAGAGAGGGAAGATTAAAAAGTTTAGTTAAAGAAAAAAAAAGAATCCATTTTGAAAGGCAATTTTATGATTTTTATCATTTATAGAGAAATCCATAAATGTATTAAAATTGTCATAATGATTATTTTGAATGCATCACACAGTTAAGGGATCTGATTTTCTTTATCCTATAACTCTGTAAATACTCTGTTTTCTCAATAAAATAACCCAGTCATTCTTTTTCTTTTATTCAGACTTTTAAATCAAGTGTTATTTTACATTGCCCCTTTCTACCCTCCAGCATGGGGGAGACATCGTGTGGCTTATCAGAAGCAGCAAATGATCTAAAAAGTATTTACTTTTGGTTTGCATGAATGGCAGCATCACCATATTTTGTCCTTGGCTCTCACCCTTTCTTGTGCATGTGACTATTCTGACTTCTTGATTTCTTTATTTATGATTAAAGTATATATATATATATATATACACACACATACATGTATATATTTATACATAGAAATATTTATATATATATATATTTCTTCTGAAGTCCTTAAACTAATCATTCTTTCATCTTTTCATCACTCACCCTTTCTCCTCCATTCCTAGTTCAAATTTTTATTGTAAATATTATCAAATTAGTTCACAAAAGGAAAAACATATAAAGCTCAGTAATACAGTTCTTGATCTTCTTTACGCCAGTGTTCCCTTTCCAAATTGAAATCCACTTAAGTAATCTTAATTAAATACAATGTTCAGAAAAGCACGGTACACATGTTAACTCCCATAAGAATGACTGTGTTTAAATATAATCATACAATGGGGGCTTAAAAATGAGAATTTTTTTTTAAGACTGAGAATTTGACAACGGAATATTACTCATCAGTCATCAGATAGAGGTGGATAATGGAACAGGAAAATAATAAGAAATTTAGAGGAAATAAAAAGGCCTTGTCAAAGCTACCAAATTCACACTACATAGTTGGTTATTTGGCAGTGTTTCTGCAGCAGTTTTTCTTTGTTTTCTTTCTAGTTCTCAGTTTTATTCATCAAATCACATCATAATATCTGAAACTATATCAGCATGTAACCAGTAACCAAGAAATAATTATTTTGAGATCTTTATTTTCAAGAATAATGTGTGTTCATCCAATCATCCAGACACTGAATACTTACAAACTACCTAAGTATGCTGGCAGATAACAGAAATGCACAAGTAAAATTAATGAGTTTCTTTTCAAAGTAAAAACATATTGTATTTGTTCCTTGTCTACTTTCTATTTACTATGAAATAATCAAATGTTATAATCTGCCCTTGAGGAAAGGGATATTATTTTTTAAGGTTCATAATGACTTTCTTTAAATAAGTTGTAACAAGTATACCTTAACAGTCATAAAATAATTTTATTAAAGTACATAGAAAAACTCATAGATAATTAAATATTTCATTTAAATAAATTCATTTCATATCTTACCTGAATAGTTCTCTGTTTTTTACTTCTCATGGAAAATGCTAGATGCAACAATACAGAAGTTATTGTATTTAATTCTAGAAAGTCAAAAACATTGTAAATATATCTATGTAAATGAAATTAAAGACAACATCAACATTATGCATGTTTTAAAAACTTGCATACAAGTTATAAAATCTTGTTTTGAAATACATAAGCTTACTCAGTTTTAGGCTTTACTCACATATTAATATTTCATTATTTAATTAAGAATGAATTTTTATTTTATTAACAGGACTTTTATCAGACTATCGCTATAATTATATACCCCATTTTACAAACAAGGCCATTTTTCATAGGTCTAAAAGATTTCTTTCTCAAATCCATAAAGAAAATGCAACTGAACCTGTAAAATCACACTATGAGTGTGTCTTCCTACACTGCAATGTGTGTTACAGGTCTTAGGATGAGAATGATTAAAGTATATGGAAACTTAAGTAGGGCAAAGATAAAATCACCAGTGAATAGTGGTAGGCCAGGACGACCTATGGGGAAACAGCAGGAGTCGTCACTGGTGCCCTTAGTTACTCTACTGCAAACATTTCAGATAATTACAGTATGAATTAGGTAGAAAGGGGTTCCTCTGGGAGAGTCTAAGAATAAGTCAATTATGGGAGATAACAATGGCAAGCTTCACGTTTATTCATAAGGGCGACCTAGGAGAGACAAGGAGAAAGGATGTCCATTAATATTCACCTCAAACCATTGCTGGATCTTTTTTGAAATGACTTCTTGTTAGAAAAACTTGCCTTAGTTAAGATAAAGCACTTTACATAATTTCTGTTCTACAAATTAATTCACTTTATACATTTGTAATCAATTTATCTATTGTTTCTTTTACACCAAAG